AATGTACAATCTAGTAATTTGTGAATTGCGGGGTTGTTCATTGATACTTTTGAATTTCCTGTGATAAAACTAAACTAGTAGACCAAGCCCGGGCAAAAAGACTTTTGTTATAAGTTTCACATCTTAGTTTGCAGTTACTTGCATAATTAATTAATAATAATTAACACGGCGTATCATTTCGCGGGGGGAATTCTCTATCTGATGCCCTGAGTTTTTCCACAATTAGAACAGGTATCAACAAATCTATAGTTAAGTGAGTCAAGATGAATAAGTTGTGAAAACAGATGAGCTATTTTCTGCTGTCAACTATATAACCTCAGGAGTTGCTTTAATATATCCGCTAATCCGATATTGAAATTCATAAATTTTAGAGACTATACCTACCTTCTTTAGGATCATACGGTTCATATCGCTGCTTAAACCATCTGGAAAATACCTACCTCCGATATTTACCCGAAAAAAAAGGAATAACCTATCTTTTCCTTTGTTAATCTTATAAGTACTACCATGTTTAAATCTTGCTTGTTGTACGGTGCGTAAATTTTAACTCTGAACATACAAAGCTCCTATGTTCAATTCTTCAATACACCAATCATTGCATTGATATGCAACCCACCTTACACACCAATTTGACAGCAGTGTAAAGCCGGGCTCAGACGACTCGTGTACTTGGCGAATAATCGTTACTTTCGTATACTTGGCATGTCGTGTGAGTGGGTTACTTGTACAATTAATTGTCACTCGTTAGTTTTCCATTTCTTGTCGGTAAAATTGGTCCGAGTCAAAGGGATCACGATTATTCGCACACTTGCCAAGTACATACTTATCTATACTTGTAGAGGCGCTCAAACGGAATGCACAAATAATTTGCCTTTAGTGCGATTATTAATTTAGTTTTCAGTTAAAGACGGAAGCGTACAGACGTTTTTTTTGTTTTTTTTTTCTTTTTTTATTGAAATGGAGTGGACAAATGAGATTGTGTTGGAATTTCTTGTTTTTTATGAAAATGCGCCGGTCATTTGGATGGCTAAACACAAAGACCATAAAAATCGAAATGCAGTTAATGATGCCTGGAAAAGGATACAAGTGTTACAAATGTTCGCCCTCGCGTACTTGTACAATGTACACGTCGTGTGAGTGCCCTGCTTGCCATCGCAACTCGCCAAGCTCGTATACTTCCCAAGTACGTAAATAATTGTGTATTCGCCAAGTACACGAGTCGTCTGAGCCCGGCTTAAACAAAAGAAACTTAGTATTAGCATTGAATATCCAACTCCTCCAACTCCTCTGGATATTCAATGGTATTAGGCTCGCCAAGAAAGAATGCCAGTTGCAGAACATACAAGCGTATGTTTAATATGAAAAACACACAATCGTAGACCGGGATCAGATATTCTGTGACTGGCATTCTTTCTTGGGGAGCGTTATAGTTATTTTAGATAGGTATGTATTCTGTGGTTGGTGTAGCAGATTCGAGGTAACTGAAACTGTTTTATAGTGTATTTTTCAGTTACAGGAATTTTTTTCATTTTTGTTGTCCCAATTAACGGAATTTGCTTACAAACCAGTTTAGTTTTTGTTACTTCAACAGTCAACTGTTTTAACAATATCCATATAATAATAATGGCTCCAGTACCACGATACAGTCTTGAACTGTTGCTTCCTAGCTGTAACAAAATTTACCATGCAACTTACACAAATATAACGATATGTGGCGAGAATCATAGACAACTGTCACATTGAAATACTATATTACAATTTCTTAGTTAAACAATACATTCAGAAGTACATCGAACATTCACTAAAAACCCAGAACTCACTCTCTCAACTCTATCCTATGTGTAAAAAAAGCAAATGTCAAAAACAGTTATCAAACTATAACAATAAATTATAAATTGAGATCATAATTGACAAATTGTTTTGTATCAAATTTTATATTACATATGCCCATTACGTTTCTATGACAAAATCTTATAAAATTGTAGTTTAAATACTCAAAAAGGTTTCTAATTAACAACTTAATGTTAACAAATTGTATTAATTTTTTTACATTTATTAAACTTTTTACATGGACTTGATAATACTGTTTCCTATTTGAATTTGACAAATACTGCGAAATTGAAAAATTAACATAGTGATGAGACACCACAAAAAAACAACAAAAGAACAACTCAACAAAACAATATCAGACCCACAAAAGTAAACAAAGTCATGGTAAAAAAATATACTATAACTGCAATGTCCAATTGTGTGTCTTCGTATACACTTATTGTGAGTATACCTTTGGGCATCTGCTGTGGAAGACAAGAGCCCTTGTTTTGAGGCGGGAACCAATTATGATAATCTGCTAACGAAAAATACGTGTAAAAAAGTCGCACAATTAAAACAAGGCCCTACCTCAAATAAAGTAAAAAAAAAACAACCAATAGTATAGTTAATAATAGAGATCAATGTTCTTTGCACTAGTTTCTATCATGAATATTATACGCTTCTATAGTCGTTAAATGAATAAATTAAATTTATATTTCGCTGTAGTGACGGACTAATAAAGTTCTCATAAACAGACGTAATATGTTTACAGTCTCTCTTGGTGAAATGAAAGAATATGGCATTTTGTACTCAAATTGAAACCACAACATTCGCGAATACTAGGATATTAAAAAATCTGAAATTTTCTTCATTTTAGGAGAGATGGTAAGGTTATGGACTGGACCAGTTACTATTATTGTTGAGTAAATAATACAAAAAAGTATAGCCACCATTTTAACTAATGAAAATTAACTGAATATAAACCTTGTATGTTTCAAGGTATAACAGTTAATAATTAACGGAACATGATAGCAAACTCTTGTTTAAGGCTTAACACAGTATCATATTAAGGAAGGCCCATCAGTCAGGGATGTGTCACGCTTTGAATGCGAGCGATTTATCCTGACTAAATTAGCATACAATTTTAAAGCTCATTTATGACCGTTTGAATAGACAAATTTAAGCGGAGCTTAGCTTAAGCATAGCTTAAAATCCATGGCAACGATTATTGAGATAATGGTTATCATAGATTTTAAGCTACGCTTCGCTTAAATTTATCAGTACAACCTGCCATAAGCCCCGGTTGTACAATGTCAGTTTAAACTTCAGATTAGTTTAACTGACAGATTTCAGAAACACGATTGGTCAACTTGTAAAATATTAGCCAATCAAATCCTTTAACCAACCATTCAACTATAAACTGAAGTTTAAACTGACCGTGTACTGGGCCCAAGGATATCAAATTAGTGTAGAGTGACCCAGCCATCTGACATAACAATAAATTTTTAGGTTTTGTATTGAACTTCAGAAGAAACAAATGACACACTACTATTGGTAATCATCAAGGAAGGGGGAGTGGGGGGAGGTGGAAGAAAGAAGCGACTTCGGCCACCTCTTAAGATGAAACTAAATAAAATTTATTGATAACACGTTTTGCAAGTTGCAACACGAAATTGAATTCAGTCATTTAATTGGCAACCAGTAGAAAGCTCACTACTGAAGTTGATGCAAAAAATTCCTACCTTCATCACGCAACGATTAGATTATCCTCTCTCATATTATATAATTAACATTCAACAGTAAATTCAATTATCACACACTTCATTAGATCAATTAACCGGTATTTGGCATTTTTGTTTAAATCGCTACCTTTTCTAATCGCATGCAAACTTGCAACGCTGAGAACTGAAAACATAAAACGTTTCATGTAACATGAGATCAACTTACGTATCTTTCCTAAGGAATCATAAATATTTAAAAAATTGTACGATATACTGTCTTTTTTACTTCATACAGGATTGTACCAAAACAACCAAGAACATTCAAGATTTTTTAAAAAAGTGTGTGATACTTTTATTCCCAGCAGCCGCTTTAGCACGTGATTTTTCTTTAGACGTCTGTATAGATTGTTTAATAGATTTTATGGTGGGTTTACTTAAGTCTAAAGCGTTGCCGGTAAGTGTTCTTTCCTCCTCTAATTTCGGGTGTTTCGCTTCTGGTTGCGCCAAATTGCCGCAAATTTTCCTTTTTGTATTTGTATTAGTCTCTTCGGTTAAATTTAAGTACTTTAAAAGTTTGTCGCTGAGATCCTCCATAAGATATTCCGATACGATGCCGTGCGCGTGTTTCAAATACGCTTCGGTGTTTACGTTCTCGTCGCGCGACGATGCGACAAACGTGGCAGATGCTGCACCATTTATCACGTGTATCTTTTTTTGTTTTAAAATGTCGGCAACACGTTCGGTTTTCTTTTGAAGCCACAATAGGGTTTTCTCTTCGTTATATTTAAATGCGTTCAATTCTTCATCGCCCTAAAATAAAGAGACATTTAACTACTCCATCGCCATCTATTAAATTATTCAACAAAAGGATGTTTGAAAAGATGGCGTTACTATGTTCCACTCTATGACATATTATAATGAATGAACTGCGCGTGGCAATGATAAGCGCGGATACTGCAGGTGATAGAGAAGGGAAAACCAAGAGGGCAAGTTGTCTCTTACGGTTACGCATCTGATTGGTTTTTCAGTTTAATATGAATGTGATTGCTTCTGTTGAAAGAACCAATAAGATGCGTAACCGTAAGAGACAGCTTGCCCTCTTAGTTTTCTCTTCTCTCTCACCTGCAGTATCCGTGCTTGGCATTGGGACGCGCAGTCCATTTATTATATGTCGATGGTTCCACTGAATCAAAAGCCGATTGTCATTTCAAAACATTCTCTACTATAGTGAAATTCACATCCAGATGGCAGTACCCGTGTATAGGATAACAGTGTTGCCAATCCTACTGTCATTTTAAGTTTTACAAATTAGCTACGGTTAGAGAAATGGTTAAAAACATTTATGACTAACTGCTCGCATTTGATTTGCGGTATCTTTGTAATGCTGCAATCAGAATGTGAGTTTCACATTGCTCAAGTAATAACACAAAATGGCATACCATTGGTAAGACCGTGGACTATGTCACTTACCTACACAGGAGATATTAAATTGACTGTGACAAGAAAATTTGCACTAGCGCAAACCTTAACGGTTCAGCCGCGTGATTTACAATTGGCCTTTATTTTAAATTTAAATTTACCGCTAGAAAGTGGCGCAGGAGGAGTGGGAGTAAAGTAATCTCTTTCTACTTATTATATTATTTCCAATGTTGCAATCCCGATTCAAAAAATTAAAACAATAATGGAGAATATCAAAGCATTACGGTCCCCTAAAATATTTATAAGACTACTTCCTTTTTTTACTCTTCGACAGATATCTACTTGAAAATAATTTTAAAAACAGCTGCAAATTCCTTATGATTTAATTGACACCGAGATTGACACTCACCTTTCTATCTGCTACCATGTTTAAAGATTTTAATCCGGTACATTTTAACAGTCGTTCCATTTGTGGAAATTCATCATCCCTTAGTAACTGATCGAGTGGAATTGCTTGTGTGGTACAATATTTTTTCAGGTATGGAAGCACTGAAACAAAACACATTTGTACACCGCCCATTTATCCCTGTCAAAATCCTATTGTAAAGGTAGGTATCGTTTTTTTAAGATCTTGAGCGGGAAATTCAAAAAACAATGTAACATAAATTTAATTATGTTGTTTATTTATTACAAATAATTGACAATAAATTTAACAGTCCTAAAATTGATTAGTTTATAACAGTAAACATATTATTTATCACTCGCGAATACACAATTTATAACGGCGCGAACTATTTATTGCCGAAACATTGAAAGTAGAACTGGACCGAAACGTGATTCGTTTGCTTATACAGGCTGATTCAAATTCGAGGGCCACCATGGGGATCTCGGAAACTGTAAGAGATATGTAGGTAAACCTCTCGCCAGGAAAGATTGCCGGTCACAGAACACTTGATCCCGATCTACAATCTATGTTTTTCTATAGATGTGAGCGACTTCCGGGATAGTATCGTGTCAATGTTGAACAAAAACACTTTTTGATCAACATTGGCACGATCCTATTCCGGAAGTCGCTCGCATCTTAAGAAAAACATAGATTGTAGATCGACACAAGGTGTGCTGTGTCCGGCAATCTTTCCTGGCGAGAGTTATAGTTTAAATTTGGTAAAGTTGCGTATTTTGATGCTTAACAAAATGCCGTTTTGAAACTGAAAAAATTCGGTCTACTTTCAGAGATATCCAGAGAAAAACCAAATTTTGCAAAATCGTTTTTATTTTTTAGTGTTAGTGTTTAGTATTGCTAATTTTGTAATTTTTTTTCTATCGAATGAATTAGTCCAGGAAATCGAGACTGAAAATGGATGCCATTTCCTGCAAAAAACGAGAGTCGTTCCAATTTTTTTTGCATGTCATGCAGAAATACTGGTGGTTAAAGAATCCAAGCTTTTCGACCTCCGCCCTTGTGCTTCCCCCGTACCACCCTTAAACGCATAAGAAATTTGGTTGGTTTTTTAGTTTTTTCATCATATCTTTTTTAGGTTAATTTTACAAAAAAAATATTGTTATCAGAAATTGTAGACTATAAAATTGTACACAACTTTGATATATACACTACTTTTTTGTGACATGTTTATTAAAAACGATATAGAGCTTCAGAGTTGCTTATATTTTTAAGAATTCTAAAACCTGAATATAGATGTTTTAACCAAATTTTATATTTTATCTCTATAATTAAGACTTTTATGAGAAAATATCTTGAACTTATCGTGGTATAAATCCCCCTACGCTGCACCCTTACCAAAGGGGATGCATAATAATTCACCTTACAACCCTTGCTAGTGGGGACATTTGAATCACTGTGAGATTGTAGGGCTTTCTAATATACGTTTGAAACAAAAAAATGATCTCACTTCAGTTCATCTTTCATATCCTTCACCCCCCCCAATTGGAAAACTACTTCTCATTTTGCCAAGTTAAAACCCCTCTATTCCCTGACTATGACATAAAAATTCCAATATAGCGTCCATAAGAATAAGAAAGTGGATTTTTATTTACTCGAAACTCACAAGTGATAAAAAATTTTGTTTTAGCACTATCAGAAAGCTGAGAATAGCTATTTATGATATGAGTGTTAAAAGTAATGTTTTACTTTGTGAGTGAAAAAGTTTGCGAAAGGAGCGAAGCGAGTGGAGCAATTTCACGAACTAAGTAATACTTACTTTTAACACGAATACCATACAACATTTTTTGTATAACTGCTCCTTAATTCTTCTCTAAGAACTACTCCCTTTGGATAATAAAATATATCACATGCTGGCGTCATTTGTCATACCTATGTTAATTTCTGACGTTTCAGTAATTATTATCAGATTGGCTGTGAAGTGACTGTATTAGGACACGCCGAATCACCTTAGTTACCAACAAACAACCCTGTTTTGTTCTTGTGGTTTTTTAAAGTTCTTGCTAGTGTTTAAAGCTTAATTTCGCGTAATGGAGAATAATAATACTGATGAATTGTGTGTTCCTGGCGATATTGAAGAGGCTGCCAAAAGAGCTACGTTTGAATTATTACCGAAAAAATCAGCTCAACAGTATGACATTGCATATTGTAATTTTCTCAGCTGGTGTAGAATTAAAAAAGTGGAGGGAAACTTCAGTGAACCCGTATTTTTAGCTTATTTGGAAGAGAAATCTAAAATATGGAACTCGTCAACTTTGTGGAGTAAATTTTCAATGATCAAGGCGAGTGCGCTCGTTAAACATGGTGTCGATGTGAGCAAATATTTCAAGGTAATCGCTTTCTTAAAGCGGAAAAATGAAGGCTACAGTCCCAAAAAATCAAAAACCCTTACGTTTGAGCAAGTTCGAAGATTTATAAACGAGGCACCAGATGAAAAATACTTGATGGTTATCAATCATCGTCGTTTTTTCCTGAAATATTCAAATTACAAATGCACTGCCAACCCAGTTGGTATAAACACGTTTGGAAAAATGCCCTCTACCATTGCCGAGTTTCTGAATCTTCCGGACACAAAGGCGTATACAGGACACTGTTTTAGAAGATCGTCTGCTTCTTTGTTGGCGGAATCAGGAGCAAATATCACCGAAATAAAGAAGCACGGAGGATGGAAGTCTACATCAGTAGCCGAGGGTTACCTCGACCAGTCTATTACTCACAAAAAGGCTATTGCTGAAAGAATTATTCCAACACCTAGCTCCACCATTACACGCGCATCATCCACTTCACGTCAGAATATGATTGCTAATGGTCAAGAAATTAAAAAATCAGTTAATTCAAATTTATTGCAAAGCTCTTTAAATTCTCAAGGTATTAATATCAGCAACTGTTCCAATTGTACTATTCATATTAATGTTCATAAATTATAATATATTCATCTGAATTTGTATACAGTTCATAATAAAACTTATGAGTTGGTTATTTGGATGATGTACCTACTCCTTTTACGGTCCACACACATAAAGGCATTGTTACAACGAGTAGAATTTCGCTTTCACTTCATCGCATCGACATGGGAGCTACGATTTTACTTCATATCTAAGAATAAGGTATACCTTGGCCCAGGCTTGAACACGCGTCGGCTTCACTTGGGTGAAAGGTTAACCCTTCCTATCGCCATATATAATGCTGGAATGCGCGTTGCGTTGCCACCGCCACCACTTCTACTTGGTTGAAAAACGGCAGCGTTAAACATATTTTAACACTAGTGTTAAAAATATTTTTAACATCTTACCTTGTAAACGTCATCTTTTAACTCTCTTGACAGCCATTAAAAACGTCACTTTTATTGACAGTTATACAGAGTGAGCAACAAAGATTGAAGCGTGCCGCTTCAGCTAAATTGGCAATGTGCCGCTCATAGCATATGCTGATTTGATACAAGATACGAAATACGAATAGACGCACGTCACTGTGACAGCGCAGAACGTCATTTTCGTATACAACTTCATACAAAGAAGGTAGTTTTGATATTAATAGGAACAAGCGGTGATGACGCACGCTTCAATCATTGTTGCTCACACTGTACAAAAAAATATTTATATACTCCGTTCAATAGTTATTGTCCAAGTAGGTAGCCATGGAATTTTGTTTTTAGGTTTAATAAAATTAAAACTCCTTATCAGAATCAGCTGTGAAGTACAGGAATGTCCAATGTGACTATTTGAGGTTAAACGTGCAATGTTGTCAGTGCTTTCACACTTTGTTTGCCACTAGACCTAATATGTTAATATCGGCGTCATGGATACGTATCGGTCAATTGTGATTTATAATTAAGCAAATATGCCGAAAACCATAAACTCAGATGCGAAAATGCAGATTTTAAATGCCTACAGGCATATAAAACAGACAGGCCAGACCTAAGGAAAGCGGAAATCTTAGCCCGGCTTAGTGACATTTGGGATGTGAGTATTTATGCATTGAACTTAACTTTCGGTCTAATTTTGGGGTTTGTACTATTATAGGTAAGTATCAGAAAAAACCATTGAAAGAATTAGCTGGATACTTTTGAATTGAAACCTTTTGGCCCACGACCTAAAACTGATATTATATATAAACATTTTTCATTCCGGGAAGATTTGCAACGTCTGATTTGGAATTATCACTCGAAAAATGAACATGGCTCGTTTTGGATTTTTGGAAGGGTGTAATCCATTACAAACTTGAAATAGTAACGATAGGGATTATCACAAAACTATGAACGGGGAGATTTTTCAAAATTGGATGGTTAATCAATTACTTCCATCAGGCAGCTGCTCTAAGACTAAAAGGTTCCCCAAAGAATAGTAAGCTACCCGCCGGAAATAAGATTAACAGAAATGTACTAATCATCAAACAGCACAGACGCAAAACAAAAGACCCAAGGAAACACATTCCAATGGCACCGTGGAAGCAAGAACTACACTCAAGCGCAGTTAGATATCAATGCGGTCGTTGAGGGCATCACGGGTATGATGGTACTGACTTATCGAGCAGTGGTTATCTTCTGAGAATCTACACCACACAACTCCCAAAGCTGGTCCAGCTCCAGACTAAAGCTGCTCGAAGTTTAATCCAGCATATCGGCATTTAAATGTGGAAGTGTTTAGTTCATAAAGACCACCACCAGCAACCTGCTATTAATTACTAAGCATATAATTGTAAAATAAGTTCATATATATAACAGCCTTTTGAAATTAATAATGTTCATTAGAGCCATTTGCCTACTCAATAAAGTATGAAACGTATTGATCAAGTTGTATCTCATGAAACTTATACGTATTTAACCTATAACAAAATTACCACAAAATCCAAAACTAAATCTGGCAACTAGGTTTTGCACATTGACAAATGACAGGAAATGATGATTTTGTATAAAATGGACATATGAGTGACAGCACATATACACAGTGAATTTCATCACCCTAACATGGCCTACTACTGGGCCAATAACTATTGAACGGAGTATACTAACTTAATGTGACTTTTGAATTCATAATCCACCTCACTTTGTATCCTTTACGCATTACGATCTCCTCAACGACATCCATGTTGGAAAACTGTTCATTCACGCGTGACGTCACACCGTACTCAGAAGTGTTCCACTTAAGGTTTCGCCCACAACGCCTCTAAGCTAGTGGAACGACAAAACCGCGGTCGCAGTCGTGATCGTTACGGGCGTTGAGTGGAACGTACTCTATGAAAACAGATGAAAACAATAACCTAACCTACATTTTAATTAATAACAAATTGCAACTTTGACGTTTCTTTCGCATGCGCAGATTGTACGGATGTTTAGGCGTTTTAGCTTAACGTTTCATTATGTGGCAGATGGTAACACTATCGCTTGCGAATTATGCGTCCATATTCTTTCCTTGTCTAAGGGTGTAACAGAATTGCGTAATGCGTTATCTAATTCAGGATTTAAACATACAAATATACCTACACTAATAGAGCACAGTATTATCCTTTATAGGTGCCAATGTAATAAAGCTTGGAACAGTGGCAAGCAGAATAGAGAATCCGTATATTGTTGACATGGCTTTATATTACACTCGATACATTGACGGTATGTGATCCACCGAATTTTATCCTGCTAAGTTTTCAGGTTAGACCATTTTTTTTCAAATACCAGCGTATATATATATAATCGATTAATATAAAATGGTACATCAAAAAGCTCTAAATAAATGGATATTATAACTGGTTTAGTATGGATAACTATAATATATTGTGTACTTTTCTTTTTTGATACATTTTTCAAGGTAGGACATGAGATACTGTAGGGGTATTCATGTAGCTGTGTAAAGTATTGGGTAACTAAGTATTCATTAGTTTCAAACAAACAACATAGCCGATAGCCAATCGAAATATCAAATTGCAACGAAAAATTACAAATTCATATTTTTACAAGAGCTCTACAACTTGTGAATACCCCTTTTTTCTTTGATGATAACATAATTATTATTTTGCAGTCTTGTGCACACTATCCATACATCAAATTTCTACATGAGACAGGATTCAAAATTAAATTCTTCCATCTTCAGTGGAACACAACATCCTTAAATCGAATATTTGTAAGATGGGGTAATTCTAACATTAGATTCTTTAATATTTGGTTTTCTGTTGGATTGTACGCGACGTTGGTGTTACTACCAATTTCTGTTTGTTTAATTTTGTACGCAATTTTCCAATTGTTATGTAACAAAAGCTATGAAGAACAGAATATTATTGTTGAGCCAATAATACCAGGTATAAACCTGCCTATTGCAGAACTAGGGTACTACAGTACTACGCTAATTTTTTGTAGCATTATTCATGAAGCTGGACACGCATTAGCGGCCGTTAAGGAAGATGTTCATTTAGTAAATGTAGGCATTACACTTTTATTTGTTATTCCTGTAGCTTATGTTAATATTAATTTTGAAAAACTTTCATCACTAAATCCGTGGAAAACTTTAAGAATTTTATGTGCAGGTGTTTGGCATAACTTGGTGTTGTCATTTATAGGATTTCTTTTGTATATGATTATGTCAAATGTTTTTGCGACCATGTTTTATGTAAATAATGGTATATACATTACAGAAGTTAATCCTAATTCTCTGCTAGCAGGCTCTAGAGGACTGCAAATAGGTAATATCGTTACAAATATCAACGACTGTGTTGTAAGGGACGAAATCACATGGAATAATTGTTTGTTAAATACATGGTACAATAAGCCTGGATTTTGTGTAACAACAGACTTGGTGCACTCTGTAGATGAAAGCATACCAATTTTAGAGTTGCCAAATGGTGGTTATGACTGCTGTGGTCCTACTAAACCAGACTGGTTGTGCTTTGAATATGCTGATAATAACGATGGGATATTAGAATTACCTCCCCATATGTGTCTGCCGGCTCGTAAAGTGGTGGAAACGTGCACATCTTTTTGTGATTTAAATAGTCGGATATGCCCAACAAACTACCACTGCATTTACCCATTATTGCCAAATTCAACAACATTGCTTAAAATTAAAGTTATCCAAAAACCAGATGTTATTTACATTGGACACCCGTTAGATGTTTTACATGCCACACATGTTTCGCCATATATTCCAAGACACTTTTTTAATACACCCAAATTACCCGATATGGTAATGAAATTGTTAAGGTACGTTATCTCATTTTCTTTAGGATTAGCTTTAGTTAATGTTATACCATGTATCTATATGGATGGACATCACATTGTTAACCTATTGACACAAATAGTGTTTAAGGAAAGACTAAAATCTCGAAGTGCAATAACCTTAATATCAGTTATAATATCTTTAATAGGAACTGCCTTATTAATATTTCTTTGTATCTACTCAATATGGTCTAGAATGCTTAAATAAATTCTACTTGGCTAAATTGATACTAGTTTGTAGTTCCCTCAAACTTCTCTCGCCATACTTTATTAACATTTTTATTGTCATTTCGTCAGTATGATGTGCATTGTTTCTGAAATCTGAACGAGCCCAAGTCTTCAACTCTAAACGGTGAGAATTATCTGGGATTTCTCGAATTGCTTTTAAAATTCTTCTGTATAAGCTTTTAACTTCTTGCTTCAACAGGAACTGTAAAAACATTATTAGTGTAGGTAATGTAATTATTGGACTACTTTGATATTCAATAAAAGTGAAATTTTCTTAGATAAGAAAAATATAAGCCCAGTAAAGCACTAGGCAGCCAATCCAACACAAGGCTGCTTATTCGCACCCGGCCAGTGTGTGAGCATCCATATGTGGGATTGGTTAGAGCAGCTTGGCTGCCTAGTGCATTGCTGGTCTAAAGATCAAGAGTAGGGAACCAAGGAAAAGAAGTAGAAATTACAGTTACTGAAGTCATATAAATATTAAATATCATTGGCGCAAAAAGTGCTAAGGTACAAAAAATAGTAAAACGGGCAAACCTGTTTTAAGTTTAAAATTGGTTTTTCTATTTTTGCCATTATAGCATCAAAATGTTCATAGAAGTAAGGTTATGTCGTTAAAAGTTAAAACAACAAATAACAGTGTCGGACTTAGGTGAAATTACAGTACTCGAGACTCGTCTGTCATTTTTGAGCCCCACTGACAGTCCAAATCTGTGCACAGAACAACTGTTTTTAATGTGTGAAATTTACCTTCAACACTTATATTTATGCATTTAGTGAAGTGACTACTGTTTAAATAAAATCGTTTAACGTTTATTTCATTACCAATTATCGATGCAAATGTTTTATAACACATAAACAATGTTATACGGCCGAAGGGGGGAAATTTTCTCCAATAAACTAATAGCGTTTTCGATTGGCAAAACTCGTGCTGCACGAGTGCAATTTTTACGTTCTATTGGTAATTTTAGGGCAATTTTCTGTGTTCCATTGGCAAATGTGATACAACAATTACGCACTCAGTGCAAATTTCGACGCACGAGGTCCGTGAGCTCGTGGAGCTGCTTGTTAACAAATTTTCAAAACAAACGTGGGACAATTTGAATTTGTTTCTTGCGTTGGGAGAGTTTTTTGTCGTCATTTAGCGATAGCGAAGATCGATGAACTAGCCATAACTTCTATTTTACAAAAAGTTGCACTTACTCATTAAACTGAACGCCAAAAATTGGTCCTTTACAGGAATTTCAAATTTATATTCCTCATCGTTTATCATAAATAATACTGAAATCGTTTGTCATTTTTTTGAATAGAGATTTGTCGATTACCTAAATCTAAAATGAGGTTATGGACAAATGACAACAATAGTTATTTGTTTCATTAGTACAAAAAATGTCAGTTTTCGGGACGAGGAAGATAGTTGCTGGACGACGCGTTAGCGGAGTCCAGCAACCTTCCGAGTCCCGAAAACGCATTTTTTGTACGAATAAAACATAAAATTTTTTCTCCAACCCCCTTTACTTCAAATTATATTCGAATTTAGATTCAGTCACAGTTTCACTACTAGTATAAGAACTTCTGCTTTCTTGTCCTCACGTGTCATGCCACTCTAGTTTTTAGGTTAACTTATAACCTATTCGTTCTGACTTCTTACTTCTCACCTCTCGCGACTTTGTAGGGAGCAAATCTTGAGGTAGCATGTTCTGCCGTTTCGTTTCTATAATCTCTGGCGGAGTGCAATCCATGTCGCTATCAGTTTCAGTCATTTTATTGTATACACAATTAATATTGTTATATTTTGTATTGAAATAAAAAACTTACCGTACAGTTTTTTAATTAAAATTAATTGCAATTAACTTTTTCAAATTTTGAATTCAAAATGACAGATAATAGTGCAAGGGGTCTGAAGTAGATGGCGTTACGCGCGACGGCGGGTTGTATACGTATTAAAATTACGTTCATCGAATATGTAAATTACGTTACACATGGTTTAAATAAAAATAGCGAGCGTAAATCATTTTCAATACATGTACATACGTATAGGTGACATCATTATTTGCATTTATATGCAAAAAGATTTGATTTGTATGTATAGAAATATCTTATAACCTGCAATGTAAAACGATGTCAATGTGACATATCTCCGTGATTGTAATTTTTTAATTGGCCAACTTTCAAGGTCAATTTCTTTTTGGTACTAGGACCAAAAGTATCTACTTTTTGTACAGTTGCCATGGTGAAAACGATTAATCCGCAAAACGTCAATTTTACGTACCGAACACTGTCACAAAATAGCGTCTTATTCAGGTGGTTGGAGAAAAAAATATTTACGAATATTTATGTTCCATTGAGAGCAATTTTCACATGCATTTCTTCAGTTTCTCGTGCAACACTCGTGCAGTACGAGTTTTGCCAATCGAAAACGCTATAACTTAATGGCCTGCATAATTTTTGATAAAGTTTTTTCCAGGAGGCAACAAAATTTGAGTGAGTTAAAAATAAAGTTATCCAAGATCGATTGTATTTTAGGGAGATTAAAACAAGGCAAAAAATTTCACAACCACTAAATCTTACGCATTCATACACGCATTTTTATCGCTGATAAAAAGCTACGTACCTTTAATCATTTAAAAAAACATCTGATTGGTTAGAATTTGAAACGATCACCAAACTTAATGTTACCATTCGTCCCGCATTGAACGGGATTGTCCCGTTTTCAAATCTACAATTCCGCAAACCCCTTGTCCCGCATTGGCCTTATGTTATGCGGAATTCGAGTAAGAGTAAGTAAGAAGCAAATTTTCTTGCAAGACTTGCAGAATTCTCATTGGTTTAAACCGTTGAGTCGGTTGAGTGAAGGTATTACCATAATATAATATTACTTTAACTCTGTTTTCTCCTCCCCCACCCTCTACTCGACTTAACCGATTTATTTCAGTGTTCTACAAAATTGCACCGCGTTGACCTTGAGTGTCAATGAAACGCTGATTTATGGAAGAAGTTTCCTTTTGGTTTTCTCGTGTTTCAATGCGTATTTCTAAATATTCGTATTATATTTTGTGTTAGCGATTGTGGTTAAATTCTTTTTGAAAACTGTTGCATAATTGCAGAATTTCCTTTCATAAAAAACACTCAATTTGATTCTAAAGTGCATTGTACCTACTATATGCAACAGTCAATTTTCCATTTCCTCGGGTGGAAAACATGATGCCAAAAACGTCTTTTACATTATTATGGGAGAGGACACCTGAACTTCCTCTTTTGTTGGGAGACGCTGCACCCCATCAGAAATGTTTAAATTTATTTTTACCCAAAATCGTCACGAAACCTTCATTTTCATGCCTACTTTATGTAAGGAAAATGTTAGTTTATTTCATACTGTCCGGTAGGTAGGTATATGTTCGATTACACTATCATTTTGAGTCCGGTAGGTGAGTTATTACAGCATCAGAGCCGGTAAGTGTCGCTAAGCAACACTTACCGGACTGTTATTTGTATACATCAAATTTGACATCTTCACACAATTAATTAAAAACCCCAACATAAATTTGGCTGTAATTCTTTATTTCAAACATTAACATTGATTGTAATGAAACAATATGTTATTGCCCTCAACACTAACGCCTGGGCCTGGGTTATTACTGGATGTCGAGTTAGTAATGTTTGATTCCTTCTGCTGTAGAACTTCAATGAAATTTTCACCGCCTTGTACCTATCAGTTATATCATACGGGCAATCTTAACTTTTCCTTCTACCGAGCCTTCGATGTATTTTTCTGCCGTCGATGAGCTTTTCCATGCCCCACGACGCTTTAACACCGAAACCCAGGCATAAAAATCTCAATGGGGTCATCCCGCCTTCATTTTTTATTTCTGATCCACAAAGTATATTAAAATTAAAAAGACCCGTGTGTCCTCAATTTTTATTTGCGAGTAAAATAAACCCAAAATAAATTATTGAAAAGCTGTGTTTTTAGTCCGAAACGCTTCAGACTAAATACGTCACAAACCTACAACCAATCACGTAGAAGTGAGCTGGCAACCTTACGCGAGGGTCTGACGTTTGTCACATTTGACGTTTTGAGAGGGATGTTTAACTGCATCTAGCACGACAGTGACAAGTGCCTGTGACAGATGATGCAAGTTATAAATGCCATTCTCCTGCAATATTGCCAAGTCGTTATGTCATCTGAATGGTTCTAGGAGCTGATTGGTCGGGCTTATTACGTCACAGAGCCCGCCACAATCATATCGTTTTGGATAAACCTTTAAAACCGCACATGTTCATTATTTTTTTGCTATCAGCCTCTATTTTTAAATAAACTTTTACTGTCCAAAAAATGTTTTGTGGTTTCAGGTACACGCTTATTAAATTAGAACTGCGGAATTCAACTATACTATAAACCCCCATTCAAAAACTTACTGAGTCCAAAAAGTATGCCAACATGACTTTTTCCTCTACTTGTTTCGCCCCATGTTCGTTCCTCCATAATTGGCAAAACACTTAGTACTCTTTTTCATACCTTGCGGCCGACTTCTTAGGAACTAACTTTTCGGTTGCTTCATGAGATTTCGACAGGATTGTATCGGGAACAGTGGAACATCCCACAACGTTTATAGCGTCCATTTTTAGTGAAAAAAATTCAATGTAAACAAACTACAAACTATAGCAACGGCTGTTGCCACAGAAATAAGGTAATGCGATTTTTACAATTTAATGAAATTTTGTAATCTTTTAAATGAAATAATGATACAGAACAGACTTACAGTATGAAATAAAATACGTTACGATATACGTCCGGTAGTACTTGTAACCTACCGGACTTATAACGTAAATAACTATTCCATGACAAGAGGCAGGCCGGTCTACTTTTCCTGCCCCCTCCCCTGTCACATCACCGACCGCACGTCACTTTTCCTGCCGCACCTGTCACATTGCTAAATGTCTATAATGACACCTGTCATCATTGACAGAGATTGGCATTAAGTAAAAGTTCTATATGAAAATTGAAATTTTATATTAAAATACGATTTCGGGTAAAATTTAATACAAAACTCGTCAGTAAAATCAAAGAGTATACTCTTTGGTAAAATGACATTACTTGACTCGGAAATTAAAGTACTTGGCGCCTTGTACTTCAATATTTCCTCGCCAGTAATGTGTCATTTTCCTGACTTTTATCTAAATAACTATTAAATTTGCGGGTATACCAAAAGCTTAATAAAACATGTAAAAACAGTTTTGTATGTGTTACCGGCAAACTGCGAAATCCGGCATTTTGCAAAATCCCTAGGCATTTTGCGAAATGACTAATGCAGCAGGCAAAGCGTGACTGAACAGAAAACCAATAGAAGGAATGCAGTCTAAACGTGAGCGCAATATTTAGCAAGCACTTAAATAAAATCGCAATCGTCCCGTCGTTTACCATCCAATGGTAACGCTGTATGCGTTATCTGTGAGAAATGACGAAGCCTTCGCACTTTGCCTGCATCTATAGGCATTTCGCGAAATCCCTAAAGAGAGGCAGGCAAAGTGCGAACTCCAGCTCCATTTCTCACTGCCTGTTGGAGTCGTCATTTCGCGAAATGCCGGATTTCGCAGTTTACCGGTAACATTTGCACCTTTTAATTCTGAACTTTTTCTGTAAAATGAACAGGAGGGCAGGATATTGTCTAATTTCCCATGTTAAATCCCTATGTTCCTACTTATCGTGCACCACCCGGTACATAACTATCTTATATCATTGAATAAAAAATTAAGAAGCTTCACGCCTGTAGTGTGAATTGTCTCTAAAAAATTACAGTGAAATATAGATGGCGCCACTTTTTATTACAGCCAGAATTTGTTCGTATTACCGTTGAGTGAAAAATTAGTGTATTACGTGATACATCGACAACTTATAGGCGATACTTCTACATAACCAACACTTACCTAACCTAACGTCCCTTGTCTATGACTTCTACAGTAGCACGCTTTGCAGGTCGTTGTACCTCCACGTCTTTTCTCTTATCTGCGTATATGCTCTCTTTGCGAATCAGTATTTAACCTGTAGCGTGAATGACATAAATATCTTATAGGTTGAATCACCTGAGATATTGTGTTTGTCACAACTCGTATAAATCCATTTAGATTTTAGATCGAGATTAGAGAATACAGGTGTTATTATTCACTCAAAAATCATATCGTAAATCACCAATGATAGTCCAGGGAATAGAGGGTTATAACTTACAAAATGAGAAGTAGTTCCAATTCCAACGATGGTCCTCATATGTGGGCCGCGCTCCTTCGCGTACCCCCTGGTATAATAAAGCTGCCTTAGCGAGCCGTTGGGCAATTACACAGTTATTTTCATGCTTTAAGGAAAACCAGAAAATTCTGTTTACTTTTGAAGCCGAAATTTGCCGATTTTGTTTTTATTTTTTTCTGATGCTACTTATTTGAACAGATACAGCGTTGAGTGATTTTCAATACAACATAATTATAACGTTTGGTTTCTGAGAAATCATAATAAACTTTTTTTTATATAGCTGGTAAAAAAGTATACCCTATACCTTGAATATAAAATATTTTATATATTTTTTATGGCGAATTCAATGATATACTTCATTCAGAAGAGAATACCATCGAAGAAATTTTCCAGGAAATTTCTCCCATATGTATTCTCGCACGATTCATTTATTCTATGTTTAATCGTCTGCAAATAGGGATGCATAATTAATTTCCACTTCCTTCAGTCAGATACTTTTACCACAGATTTAAATTAGTATATTTAAATCTGTGCTTTTATTTTATATAAATAATGTCTCTTACAAAATAGTAGACTAATAATTTCATATAAAGAATTTGTGTAACTAGCACAGATACCGTCCGTAAACCTGGGCTGCGCATACGTGATTCTGGCCAATCAGCTCTTCTTTTACGTCTAAGAATACGTGTACCAAATTTGATTGCTATCGGTTCAGTCGTTTATCCGGAAATGAGTTGAGAGACCACATCGAGATTTTGTTTGATTCGGATTCATGGTGCTTCAAAACGTGTATTTCCGTTAAAAAAGTGGGGGTCATTTTTTACTCTGAATGCAATTTACATCTCTTACGAAGGTGCGGACGGTAAAAAAATAAAATTCCCCCACAAATTTTTTGTTAAGGAAGCGCAATTCTCGGATCATAAAGCTTTAAACCTTCAACTTAATTTTGTAAAATTTCCGGAGAAGGACCCCCGGACTCGGTCATATCTAGATACGGTCCTGCCAGAGCAGGCGAAAAGAAAATTGTTCAACGAAATTTTAACAGCGCGGATACGTTTTGGGATTGGGATATTTATTTATATTTAAAAATTGGATTTGTTCATGCGGTATCACTTTCGTTCAATTTTTGCGTTTATGTCTAACTTATTTATTCTACTGTGTTTGACATAAATCTGAACCCAAATCCGAAGTTGTTTTGTCATATAATAATTTTCTAACTATCCTAATAGGTACATAGTAACAAAATCGCGAAAAAAGTAGAATTGATTGCAAACCAACGAAGCACCCCGACTTCAAAATTTTATTAGAAATGTGGTTAAAAAAAGAAGGAATAAACTTGCCTTATCGCCGTTGCGTTTTTATAATAATAAATTCTTTTTTGGAAGCATTTGTAATCATACATTTAGCATTTAGGGTAGAAAGTTACGATGGTCATGTTAGTAAACGCGTGCTGGTCCACAGCAGGACTATGTAGTGGGAGTTTTCTTGGTAAGGGTAAGCCCTTTTTGCCCTCGAGTTCTATTCGTATTCAGTATAAAGAATAGGAACCTATAATAATCAGAATCGCTACTTAGCCGTGTAGTCCGTCGTATGTTTTGCCACCCAGCACCCTTTCGTAATTCGTTGTAGTGATAAGCTTATGTTATGTCACGATCACGCGCATGCTTGTAAATTTAACTTGCGTGTTTATTCAAATCTGGCGGGAATGACCTCTATTACAAAAATAATCACACATCGCCTACAGTTCGTAAAGCTCTCTCAAAGTATCTCAAGCATAAAGCAAAGCTCGCAAATTCGCATAAAGTGAAACGGTAGTGTTGTCAGTTGTGCCAATAAAACTGCATAATGGGTTGTATTCTCGGTTAACTAAGTACATGTATCGTATTTAATGGAGAAAAATACCGAAGGAATTATAACCAAAATTAAGAAAGAAATACCAGATGAAACAATAACAGTAAGTATGTTTGTTGTAGTGCAATACTAGGTATACACATATTACCTAGCTGATTTCAAAACATCGCGTTACACGGATCACCTTACAGAAATACAATTCTTCTTTTTGTCCGGCGTATATTTATAGGTAAAACAAAACGAAGTCTATTTTAGTTACATTATTTTTTAATGAACTGTAAAAGCGGCAAAACAGGGAATGGAAAATGTGCTATTAGAGGAGAATTTTTGTAGTATGTAAGTAAACACGGATCCAGCACAAACGTGAAATTTAAACATGTTACATGATAGGGGGTATCAAATCGCAGATGGGTGGAAACTGATATCCATCAGCAGGCATCGTAAATACATGTTATTTTATACTGCGCAGCGAACTTGGTTAATTTCGTCAGATGCTATATTTGTGCATTAAATGTAAATAAAACACTTCTTGACATTCGACTCTGCTCTGCTTTAATACTAGTACGAAAGATCATACTAAATACTAAATGATTACCTTATAATTAAAAGCATTGCATAGGTACCTATCACAACCCGCTAGCAACAATATCTATTTTCATACAGTAACTCGATACAGGGATGATGTTTTCAGTTTTCAAACTATGCGAAATTATAATCTGAGGGTTAACGAGTTCAATTTTAAATCTACATTTGGTTTTGGTAGATACCCCGTGATTTTCCATTTTATGTACTACCTAGTACCTAGGTAACCCTAAACTGATTCAGTATATGTAGATACGTATTGAGAAATAGGAGTAGGGTTCAAATAAATACAAATAATAGACACATAATTTTGTCATGTGCTTTATCAACGTATAACAGTTATCGGTGGCGTAACTTACCGGTGTTCCACGTGTGCCACGTACCTCAATGGTCCGCCTCCGCTTGGTCACGCAATCTAGAGTAGTCTCCAAGTGCAAGCCGACTACAGCTCAGGAATCTCTTTTAAATAGTTTTGAGAAAAAAATTTTAACAAAGAGTTTTTATATTTGTTAATTTTTTGTGTAGTAAGTAACCCAAATGGCATAAAATGCTATTTCATTAATGGCAATAATGACAATAATTTGTCCAATATCACCATAACCTATAGAAGCAAATAATTCCTTCCTCCATATAGTCAAACAACATGTTTAAAACTGTTTTTTGAACATCTTTGCTTGACGGTCCTGATGTTACTTTTGGCACATTTCTAAAAGTCAATAGTGACATACCATTCATGATGATATCTAGCTTCGGCTGCTGATAAGTCTACGTGTTCCACCCTTTTCGTAACTAGGTACTTCACTCAAATCATCTTTCCATTCAGTACCTACATTTGCATATTTTCAAAATTTCATTCTTTTTTTTTTAAACGTCTGAACCATTACATTACTTCCTCCTATTTCTTGACCGTTTTGATCCAGGAACTAAAACTTCAACTCCCTAAAAAGGACAGGTCGTTTTGTAATCAAATGCGGGCATTTTGGTCCTCGTTGTTTCATTCATTCATTATTTTTATTGTAAAATTTTCTTTTCTTTGTCATAAGTCATATAGTACTGGAGTATATTCATTTCTGCAAGTCTTGTTGACTGTAATTTCTTGAAAATTTTGTAATTTAATAATAATACGTGTCTATTATCAACAGATCAATTAGCAAATAATAACATTTTTATTGACACATAAGCATGATAAAAGGTGTAAGTTCACAGACACAAACCCCGCTCTTGGTCTTCCACTTGGACCAACATCCCCAACGGGAAGGAAGAAAAATAAAAAATACAATTAAAAGAAAGAAATAAGTAAGAAATAAAATTTACAATATAATTACTAATTGGTTCACAAAACGCCCAGTTTGCCAACAATTGATAAGAAGTAGTGGTAGTGAATGTGGCTTATTGAAAATGTAACTAAAAGACGCTACGATGTGCGTCGGTAAATCTAACATTCGCTATTGCGCGAAATAAATTGTAAATAAAATGTAAATAAGATATGAGGAACAGTTATGAACACTTCAAATACAAAATAACATAAATAACTATTTCTACTGTGTACAAGCGGATTTGAACAGAGGTAAGGGGGCGGAGATGTTCTTGTAAAGAATTCTATAGCTTATACAAACATTATAATAATAGCCATTTATTGAGTTGCACATAAAATAGAATGGTTAAACTTAAAATTAATATACATTTACAACTTATACTTCTGTACAACCCAATGGAGCGAAGTTCAGACACGTAGAATAAACTAAACTAACGCCTGTTCTACCACTTAACCCCTTCTCATTAGTTTTTATACATTATAGAACTTTAATGCCTACAGATAAGCAGTTCATACCAACTAAAGCGAATTAGCAAAAAATAAAACTTTGGGTAAATTTGAATGCGAAAAACATGAAATCAAAACCAAACTAAGAGAGAAAACACAAGTATAAATTGTGCACAAGCTTTTGTTTTGACATCACCAATGGATATATTTCTTGCAGACGTCTCAATCGCCCTTTGCGAGTACTCTCTTCCGACAATCTGTCCTTGAGGTATAAGGGAATACATCCGATCACGACAAGAGGTTGAAAAGGAGGGCTATGGTTGGTAGAAATTCCTTTCGTTGAGACCTTTCATTAGAGTACCATGAAGGATAAAACTAGTTCCACCCCCCCCCTTCCCCTCCACCGCGTACTTTGATAAGAGGACAGAAAGAAGGGCAGTAGTGGGTAGAAAACGGTTCCCCCCTTTTAGACAGCGAAATTTGATGGCCGTCTAGCACATCTTCAAGGTATAGGCTACCTACTGGATGGACGGACGGACAAAACGCAAACAATAGCACATTTTTTTAATTGTTAAAAAATGCGCTGAAAAGTACCTCTTGAGATTTACACCTGATATGCCGTAATGATGGAAATGGAAGTAATGCTAGAGAAGATTAGATGGAATCCCAAGAGAATAGAGTTCAGAATTTGTTAGATCTAAATTTTCACTGCTCCTGAAACCTGGAAATGCTTCACCACTCGGGGAAGTCCTACTTGGTTAACCGAGATGAGGCGAGGGACGTGCGCATTCTTTCAAACGGACGTCTGGTAGAGACTTCTCCCTACCGAACAAAGCGTGACGCGCACCGTCGGTGGAAACTATGGAATCAGCAGCCTAAAAAGAAGAAAAGACGCCGTCTAAATAAAATTATCAAAGTCCTCGTGTGAGATCGAAGGGACTTCAGCGCATTTTTGTGTGGCAGATCAGTATTCTATTAGCCACGTTTGACTCAACCATCAATAAAAGATCGTGTCGAAGGCTACTACATTCACTTTGTCGGTACCCGCTTCCCACTTTCCACGTGCACTCGCAATTCGCGTTTAAAGTTTTGACTCCACCCTCAGTAAAATCTTGTCGGGGGCTACCATATTCCCTTTGTCGGTATCCACTTCCGATGTCCCATTCCTTTCCAATGCGCGTTTGAAGATTTCACTCCACCATCAGTAAGATCAAAGTAAGATCGTGACGGGGGGCTACCAGATTCCCTTTGACGGTACCCACTTCCGACGTTCCGTTCACCCGCAATTCGCGTTTGATTTGACTCCACCATCAGTAAGATCGTATCGCGGGCTACCACATTCCCTTTGTTGGTACCCACTTCCGACGTCTCGTTCACCCGCAATTCGCGTTTGAAGATTTGACTCCACCATCAGGAAGATCGTGTCGGGGGCTACCACATTCCCTTTGAGGGTACCCACCTCCGACTTTCCGTTCATCCGCAATTCGCGTTTGAAGATTTGACTCCACCATCAGTAAGATCGTGTCGCGGACTACCACATTCCCTTTGAGGGTACCCACTTCCAACGCTCCGTTCACCCGCAATTCGCGTTTGAAGTTTTCACTCGACCATAAGTTAGATCTTGTCGGAGGCTACCACATTTCCTTTTTCGGTGCATACTTATATTACGCCCACATTTTGGTGGATTTCGCTAAAAACCTTCCACAAGATAGTACTTAATTTTTGGGGCACTTCTCATTACTCAAGCTTCTATTGGCGACACGGGAAAGAGAGACAGCGATTCGAGATTTACGAAACGTTCAACCGCGTGACAAAATTCGCAACGGAAGATAAAAGGCGCCCGAAGTTGACTACCTCTCGAAGACGCGCGCGCGCGCCTTGAAAAAGGTCGTTAAATATCAAAACTATATAGGAGTAATACACTATTAGAAGTTCAAAAAATTTAATTGAAAACAAGATGCGGATATACGGAATTTAATTTACAGCAAAGTAACCAGGTAAATTACTTCACAAGTTCACAACTAACACCCACACAAGGTCGCAGCTTGCGAATGACACCGACATCCCATACAATAGCCCTTTGTTCTAAATATATCTGTGCTTTACCATTTCGCGCGTCTTCGTACCCCGCCAGGTAGTTTGTACTATTGTAATAAAAACATAGCCTCTGGGGTACGCAGTCGACTTATTGTGGAGTACGACTTATGGGAGTATAAAATTTATACAGCATTGATGATCTTTGATAGTAATAGTAGGTATATATGAGTCACAAAGAGATGCCAGTTGATTTTATTCTTTTTATTTGAGAATTGCCTTATGAAAAATCGACTACGACAAAATGGTATCTATTTTTTATTTGTTTTGTTTGTGATTTTGTGCCTAATTGATTGTTTATCATTCTGCAGAAGGTAGGTATGTTGCATTGAGACCATCAGATGACGACACCCCAAATCGTCTATTTCTACGATATTGCAACGGAAAATGCTCTAAACAAGTGGTGGCAATGAATATAATTGGAAAAATACCCTGTGAAATCGCCCAGTATTTGAATTTATCAGATTATAAATTATATACAGCCCAAAGTTTTCGTCGCAAGTCAGCTACTCTTATAGTTAATGGAGGAGGTGATATCATCCAACTGAAACGTCATGGAGGTTGGAAAAGTTCTCCACAGCCAAGGGATACATTGAAGAAAGCATTAATAATAAAATTGAAACGTCACAGAAAATCTTTAATAAAGGTCAATCATCTAAAGTGCAAATTATTGAATCAGTGACAATGGCGGAACATACAATAACAAACTTATCTAGACTTTCTTCAGCGTCTGCAATTATCATAAAAAAATGTAAAAACTGTACTTTTAATTTTCATTCATCAAATTAAATAAATTTTTGGAAATATGAAATCTGCTCGATTGTAGAAAAAATCTTGTGAGTAAATCGAGCGCAAATTGATTGTCGATTTCAAGAGATTGCCGCGCTGTTTCCTTCGTTGCGCGGCAGCTGTCTCTTACTCTTTCAATCGACAATCCTATCAAGCTATTGTGAACAATCGGCTTCTTTTTTTTAGTACCGAGTAAGTACTTTGTCCATAAAGAATTGGGACCAAAACTCTCCGACAACTCTTGAAAATAATGTAAGCACGTTTCTGATACGGCATTCGGTCACGTAACCCGGCATTCAAGGATTTCCTGCGC